ACTGCATGGTGCCAGCTCTGGTGAATCCCCCCCTGCTGGCTACACTGCCTCCTGGTAGATTCCATTGCGGTGGCAGTGTGTGAGAGGGGGATTTCATGGACAGACAGGAAGCCACAGAGCAGCACAGCGAATAGGGGATTGAATCTAGGGGTGCTGTGCCATTATGTTATATCTCCAGTCCTTTTAAATATTTTCTTTTGAGTCAGGGTCTTGGAAGATGGCTCCATTTCCAGATCAGTCTAGTATGCTGTCAGGGCAGAGACTCACTAGGCTCACTTAGCCAGGGGCAGCCTCTTCCAACAGATGTAACAGTTCATTGAGATGCAAGTGATATGGGTTTTCCTCTGAAATAAACTATATTGATGCTGCTAATATGTAATCTTGGGATTCAAACAGTGAAAAGGAGAAGACCCTTCATCAGAATGCATAATAGTGAAAACCTCTACTGGGTGTATTATTTAGAAGGACAGATAACCTATAAGGTGTAAGCAGATGCATTTTGAACTTACATTTTATAGAACTTGAGTTTGTGAAGCCCTCTTGTAAATGTTAATGTCTTCATTGGCAATAGAAGCCTACAGGGATATTCCACAGTGACCCTGAGTTTGGAAACACTTATTTTTTCATATGTCCAAATACCTCTATTGGTACTGACACAGCCTTTCCCACCTGCTGGTGAACACAGCTGTGGAGAACGTTCAGTACCTGTGCCTTTGCACCTGCAGCTACCCCCACCCCACCCCACCCCACCCCGCCCTGCCATGCTGTGGATGGAACCCTCGATTTAGCACTTACTAGGCAAGTGCTCTACAACTGAACTACAGCTCAGCCCAGCTGCATTTGAACTTCATTCATGAAAGTCGATTCTGGTATTTTGTCTAAAAGAAAGAAGGGAGAGTTCCCAGGTCCCAAGGGCAGCAGGGTGAGGCGGCTGATACTGTGACATGAAAACTGGCACTACCTCAAGCTGGTGGAAGAGACACAGAACAGAAAATTAGTATTAAAATAGGGGAGCAGACAGTTCAAATAGAGAATTGAAATAATACTGGTTCAAGAAGTAATATTAGCTCAAGTTTATCCCCGACTTCTCCTTTTCTGTTACCCAGCAGATAGACGGTAACAGCTTCCAGAGTCCTACTTTGCCTTGAGTTCCTTGAACATGCTGCTCAGCTCAGGAGCAGAGGCTCCTCTCTCCCCTCGGCAGGGCTGGCTGCTCCCCAGCTTTGGCATTAAATGTCCAGAAAGCCTCTCTGCCCACACTATCGCAGCCGCTGCGCCATCTTCTATCATGGCCTCCTGCTTGCTGCCCTACAGTCCCCACCCTTTGTTTACTCCAAGCTTCGGGAGGGCAGGGGCTACGGATTCATCCCTGCTTACAGGGTCTAGCCCAGTGCCTGGCTTAGACAGCTACGAACAAAAACATTTCAATGAACAAAGTGTGTCCTCTTTATATTTGAGAAAACCAAGGCCTCCAAAAGCTTGAAGAGCTTACCCAGGGCTCTACAGCTTGTCAAGGGTGGAGCCTGGGTCTAACTGGCTCCACAGTTTGCCCTCTTTGAAGTCACAGTGTTGCTTTCTAATCCACTGACGAAAAGATTCTCTTCTCCTAGTGACAATGGGGACAAAGAGGTGGGCTCAGAGAGAGTCTAGAAGAGCCTCAGAGCTGTAAAGGCCAGCCATGGGCAGGAGTGAGTTCCGATCCACTCAGGGACAGGAGCGGCCCTCTGCCAGGCTCCCCTGTGCTTCCGGAGCACTTTCAGTGCATCCTTCAACGCCCCAGCAGCTGACTGTTATCTCCAGAGCTCTGCATAGGTCCAAAAGCAGTAGTCCTGGGGAGATGTCCACTGATCTGAAGAGCCCAAGGACAAGCAGAGACACATCGAATCCCTGCCTTAGCGAAATGCCCTGGGAGGTGACGGAACCGCAGTTAAGCCTAACGGGCAGAAATTAAATTTCTATGAGAAAATACTTACTCCGAACTGGCTTTGTAACGTGTCAAGGAGTAAAGGGAATAAGGGTACAGAAGAATTCCAATAAAGCACAATTTAAAATGGAGGTAGTCACACATTAGGGAAGATGACAGGATAGGATAAGGAACATGCACTGAGCACAGTCCTGCCCCTCGTCTGCTCTAGTTACTCATAATCAATGAACTCATTTCACTTTTACAAATGCCCATCAATCAGGCACTGTCAAGGGCTCCCTTTTATCTAGGAGGGGAATCCTCGCCTGGATTCAGCATCAGAGACGGAGCTCAAGCTTGGGTAGCCTGTCTCCCAAGTTCTGGAAGCAGCAGCCCCCAGCTCAGCTCACTGAGGTGATAACAACCATCGAGCTCAGAAAACATTTTTTGTGGTCCAAGCTCTCTAAAGCCTTTAATTCCATTATTTTATTTAATACTCAAGACACTGAGAGACGGGGACTGCTGTTAGTCTGTTTTACAGAGCGGGGCACAAGCTCAGTCTGAAGCATGCACTGTAAGTAGGTGAACGCACACTACTCACAGGTGGATTCCAGGGCTGTGCTTTGAATCTCCCTGTTGAGGACAAGGGGCCTCCTGGCAGGTGGCCCCTCACATTATCTGCAGGTGCTAGACCTGGTCTAGGCCAGTGGGATGCCTAGTCTTTTTGACTAAATCATCAAACTTTTTTGTTGTACTTTGACTAAGAATTTTTTTTCAGTTGTCATTGAACACAATACCTGTATTTTGTTTATTTTTATGTGGCTCATACACGCGAGGCAAGTGCTGTACTGCTGAGCTATAACCCCAGCCCCAAGGGACTAAGAATTTAAATGGCTGTTATGCTGTTAATCCTCAGGGCATGTACAGGCATTTAAAAATGTAAGACACCATTTAGGCAGTCTTCAGATTCAAGAGTAAACTCCTAGAGCCCCTGCACTATCCCCAGGACCAGCACTCCCTCCCCTCCTAAAAGTCCTTGCAGCCTTCTCTCTCTGAAGACCCTGACTGATTCAATGACATGGGAAGTGACTTCGTTCCAAAGTGCTGTTAGTCTTGAAAGTTTCAAAGACCTAACAATGATCTGGCATCTGAGGAGAGGCCTACAGTCTAGTAGGAAGAGCACGGGCTTTGGAACTTGTCCAGCAGTTTACAAATTACATGGCCCCAAGCGTGGTATCTCTGAGACTCATCCATAAAATGCAGTTTCATTTAAAAAATCTTCACTGAGCACTAACCACATGTTGGGCAATGTGCTAGAATTAGGAATTCACGATGAGCGAGACCAGGTTCCCACTGAGGAACCTCAGCCTAATGAGAAACGAAGGCAGGAGCGCCTATCCTGAGGACTCTCCTGAAGAACACATGCAGGGAACACTAAGTGCTCAGTAAAAGGCAGTTCTCTCTCTTTTTTCAACCCATTATCTGAAAAGCACGTTGCACTGAGGTTAATTAATTCAGGGAGTGAGGGTGTTGAAAAGCACAGCTGCCTGGGCTTTTATACAGGATTACTACAATGAAGGCAGACTATAACTCTAATACTTCATCTCTTTGATGATTTATTTTATTATATTTATACTGTTTATGTTTATACTGCTTTTAGTTAAAAAAAAAAAAAAGGAAATGCAAACAACTCAAAGGCACAGACTGGAGTAAGATGGCAGCTGAAGCTGCTTTGGGGCTTTGTCAACCCCAGTGGGAATGGCAGTTCACGCCAACCACCTTCACCAGGGCCAAGGGAGCCAAGTGAGACCCAGCGCCCGGCTTTAGTATAACACAAAGAAAAGAGCACTGAGGCCAGAAAGGAAAGAACTGGCAGGGTCACCTCCTCTCAACTGCACGCAGCAGCCCCAGGTCTCCTGCTTGGGGGATGAACAGGGGATTACGACTTTAGACTTCAAACCTAGCACGAGGCCCACCACAGTGAAACCCAAAGTACAGAAATCTATTAAGAATGGTTTAGTGACTTGACACAAGCTTCTTTATTCTTAAGTTTTGCCACCGATTTGTTAATAGTTGGAATTCTGGGGAAAAAAAAGCATTTTATACTATGTTTACAAAGTACTGGATGGGGTCGGGGTGTAGCTCAGAGGTAAAGCCCTTGTGCAGCATGGGTAAGACCCTGGATTTGAGCAGGGAAAAATGATTAAATATTAATATCAACCAGGTATGTTAGTATAAGCCTTAATCCCAGCTACCTGGGAGGCTGAGGCAAAAGTATTGCAAGTTCAAAGCCAGCCTGGACAACTTAGTAAAACCCTGTCTCAAAATTAAAAGTAAAACAGGGCTAGGGATGCAGCTAGGTGGCAGAACACCTCTGGGTTCAGTCCTCAGTACCAAAAAGGAAAACAGTAACAGTTAAGAGTAGAAAAATATACTGGATATTTATAAATAAGCTGTGATGATGATGATGATGATGAAAGCAAATGCAGAGATTCCCACTAAATTTGATTCCTACAGTGCTGTGTTATGTTGAATAGTAAATAAAAACACAACTTTGAACAAACACATGAAAAGCAATGTATCTGTTGGTGAAATCTGGGGATGGGCTGTATGCAATTCTTTCAGGTGTACATAAGAGAGTATTTCTCCATGGAATAGTGAGTTGGGGAGATGAATCACTCTGGGAGCAGGTATTACTCAAGTGGTCAAGCCAAAAGACACTGTGCCATTAATCTGAAGGTAGCCTGGTCCTCTCCCAAGTCACTATGATGAGAACAATCTGCAAAGGTGACATTCACTGGGGGTGGGGTGGGGGTGGGTGTGGCCTGCAAGCTGGAGGAATTTTCAGGTGTTAAGGGCTCCTGAATTAAGGCCCCAAGTTTTCTTACAATAGAAACTCTAGCAGCAGAGGGAATGTTAGGAACTGGAAAAGGGTCTGGGGAGTGGACAGTGAGGAGGGCAGGGAGGCAAGAGAGCAGGTGTAGCAGTGTGGAGGGTGTGATCAGCGCACGATACATGCACGTGTGGAGACAGCACAGCGAATACCAGTCATCTGCACATTTAGGAAGTATTGATGATCATAAAGAACCAAAGGCTCTTTCCATCACTTTTTCAAAGTCACTACATCTTTTTGCTTTCCCAGGAACCACTGGCCCTGATTTTCAAGCTAATCCGAAGTAAGCAATGGTGTCTGCAAAGTGAGGAAAACTGACTAGAGATCTTCCTATGGAGGCAGGAATGATTACAAGTGATGTAACTGGCAGCCAAAAAAGTGGCTTAAAGCCAATGGAAAGTGGGGAACAGAATAACAGAACTCAGGGAAGGAATCAGCAGTTGAGGAGGAGCCTGTTTGCCCTGGGCTGCTCTGGGCAGGAGAGCTCCCCGTTTGTATCAGGAGGGGATCATCAACAGAGCTCAGGGTCGCCAGTGACCCGTGAGGAGCTAACAGAACAGCGAGACTGACCACTCTGTGCACACACAGTGGGCTGCCTCACTCGATACCCACATCATCTTTGAGTTAAACACTTTCCTCAAGGTCACACAGTCAATGGCAGAGCTGCGATTCAGACTCCCATCTGATGGATGCCACAGCCCATTCTCTCAGCCACCAAACAATGTGGTCAGCGATACCTGTTGTTAATTAGAAAGAATGCACATAAACTGTTGGCTTAGCCACAACATCGTCTTTTGGCAGAAAAGAAAAAGGGAGTGAGAGAGAACTCATTTATTTCCTATATTTAGCAGTGTGCCCAAGGTTGTGTAACTGTCGAGCAGTGCTGCGGATGCACTTCATCTCCTGCCACACTGCTCTGCTTTCCACAGCAAGTTCACAAGAAAAGTAAACGGACAGAACAAGGTAAGGCCACATGTCGCTCTCAAATGCTTGCTGAGAGGGCCATAGCCAGGCAAATCCATGGGAAGAGTTCTCCAGCAGAAGGTCATGAAAATTAGGGGACACATTGTAAATCTGACAAAAAACTCATGATCTAAATAGTCAAAATAGATCAGAAACTTTCACTCTAGTATAAACTGTATGGAATTAAAGATGAGAAGGTCCAAATTATCTATTTTCCACCCATGAACTTGGGTGAATGGAACTTAGTTAACAAATGCTGAATATATGAACAACTGCTAGACAGTCTCAATGGCAACCCCTAATGGGTCCAAGTCTGCACGCGGGATTTCTGCTATTGGATGGGTGGCTGGCTAGAATGGGCATGATGGTTAAAAATCTCAGCTGGACTGTCGGCCAGAACTCACCACAGGGTTCTTCAGGGGTCAAGGGACAGAGAGGAGGGGAACTGCTCAAGTTTCATAGAGAACTACAATCTTTAGGAAGCATGCCATCCATCATGTACTAGGCCACAAGACATACCAAGCATCTTCTGTGTGTCTAGGTCTGAGTACCTGGCTAAAGACGGACCGAGAGCTGTAGAGAGCTCAGAGTGCAGAACAGCTGGGCTCTACAGGAAGAGACACATTAGCAGGACCACATGGACTAATGCTGGATAGACCCAAGCTTGAATTTCTTATTCTACCAGTTACTAGTCATGTTCAGATCTTGGGTCTGGTTTCTTTATCTGTAAAAGGAATGTTCTGATACCACAAGGGCTGAAGGTAAGTGGTACTTCCTTTCCTTGACAGAGAAATATAAACTCAGCTGTAATGAAAAATTGCCAATGCCATAAATGCCCATCCTTGTTTCTACTCTGTCAGCAACAGACTGCTTATCCTAACTCAAGGGCCCCACTCAGCACAGGCTACTGCAGTTCAATCATGAATTTGTCCCTCAAACTTTTGTTACTGGGTTAAATGGCACACACATTTTTAAACACACCTGGAATGAACTTTGCCATCCACTGAGTGATACATTTTCCATTAGGACACTTGCATCTTTGAGAATTAAAAATAAGTTTTTGCAGCCGGGCATGGTGGCACACAGCTGTAATACCAGTGGCTCGGGAAGCTGAGACAGGAGGATCGTGAGTTCAAAGCCAGCCTCAGCAATGGCAAGGCGCTAAGCAACTGAGACCCTGTCACTAAATAAAATACAAAAAAGGGCTGGTGAAGTGGCTCAGTGGCCGAGTGTCCCTGAGTTCAATCCCAGGTACAACCCCCGACTCCATTTTTGGTTTGCTAGTTTAAAAAGGCAAAACAGAACTTGTTTCACTGTGCACTCTTGCGGCCAGCATGACTGAACATCTCTACACACATCATTCCTACATTACTCTTCTATGCAAAGAACATCCTCTATCAACTTTCCAATGCAGGACCTAGGCCTTTTAGAGCAGCCGATGGCATTTCTAAAGATAAGATTATAAGATCAAACAATACCCAATTCAGGTTGAGGGAACAACAACAAAAAAATGGTTTCTGGGGGTGACACAGAAGGACATAGGCTACCACAGGACAAGATAAAACCAATGTTTTGTAAGAGAATGTCCTAAATGATCTGACCCAAATCCACACATAACAATATGTGGGCAAAACCTTAGTGTGGTTACATCGCCTCAGGAGCTTTCTGGTTCAGGAGGCTGAAAGTGTAACAAACAGGCGGGAAAACCACAGACACACTTACAGTTGCGTGTGAGATGGTCAGAATTCCATTCTTGACGGTGCACTTCCTCCTTTGCCACACTTTCCGGATCCTAGGAAGCAAGCCCAACAGAACTGTAAATAGTGTCTGAGTCATCTGGGACATACAGTCATATGGTATGATGAACAAGAATTACAAAAAAACCCCAATCCAAAATTAAAAAATCCTGACCCCCCCGTTAAGTTACATAAATCAGAAAATTCTGATTGCCTTTTATACCCCAGCTAGAGGGTAATTCAGACAGGTAGGCATAACAAAGATGCTCATTACAACATTGTTTTTGATGGTGAAAATGAGAAATAGAAATTATAGAAATATAATAGCAGGAGAATGAAAAATCAATTATGGTTACAATATAGGTAAAAATACTATTCTCTGGAAAGGGGGCCCAGACCTATATTAGGCATTATGTTAGTAATGCTTATAACCATATCTGTCAATCTTTTACCAAAAGGCTCTATTAACTGATTAATTCTACAATTAGATGAATTTTAAAAAAGTTATGAAGTCTGTCATGCAGGAGAAGAACGGGGGTGAGGCTGCCTCAGATGTAGGAAAACGAGCTGAGGGTCCAAGGCACAAGATGATCTAGTTTTGGTGACTCGTACACCTCCCCTTCAGGGGTCTTCCAATGCTAAAATGATGCCAGAGCCCCTGGAAAGAGAACTGTTCCTGATTCATACAGGAGTCACCTGTGGTCAAACCATCTGAAGGAGTTGTGATATTTTGAAAAAAAAAATGATGATGCTGAAGATGGAAACCTCCAAAGAGAACTAATTTCAACTTGGAGTTTCCTGTGAAGCTCTGGGTGCGATTAAGAGGCTGAGTGTCGGGCAGAGCTGTGCACGTGCAGCAGGTGCAGCTTTGCTGCTTGGGACCACTTCCCCGGGGGAGGCAGAAATGGGCAGGGAATAGGATCCCCTGGCCTGGGAGAGGGTTGTGCAGGCCTTCTGTTGCCATGGAAACAAATGACACCAGAGAAGACCATTCTATCTTTCCCAGATCTTTAAAATTGTAACTTGCATTTTCTTTTCCATCATAAATTAATACTCTAAGGAAACTGCCAAAACATGAATTTAAAACCAACATAGAAAACACTGTCTTCTTATATATATAACTACCAGAAGTATAGTTTGTTCCAGAGCATGTTTTTCAGAGCATGATGAGAATTTGACTCCATTTGACTAGATGTAAACTGAACACAATGCTCAAAATGCTAGTCTCCTCAGGAGATAGTTTAGAACCACTAATTGAGAACTATCCTCAAATCACAGCTAAATCACAAACTTTCTTTTGTAAGTACTAACTAGGATATTAGCGCTGATATCTATCAAATGAAAATGCCTGAATTTGGTTAACGGTTACAGCTATCTATAAGTGGTACTGATCTTGTTTTACTCTCACAGAAGCTTGTGAAGATGGGAGAGGCAGTCCCTGTACATTAAGCCAAAGCCAACACCATCCTTCCTAACACATTTCAAAATTCCAAACCACCAACTAGTCAAACTACTCAACCTTGGGTAAACTCTCCCTGCTCAGTTTATTCATTTTATTTAGTTAAGCTTTTACACATCAGTTTTTCTTATGTGTATTCAGGAATCATAAAATAAACATCATATTCTCTTGCACAGCTAATGAAGCTGAGGAAAGTAACACAAAAGCACTGACCTTTCTGGCCGAGAGACTGCTAATGAGGCATTGCAGATCGCCAGGAGGAGGAGAGTATTAAGATATGCCCCTGCACAACTGAGAACAGCAGCTCCTGATCTTTGTAAATCTTCTACAGCTCTTTTCTATTAAAAAGTAGCCTTGCACGACTCAGTGTGTATCGATGTTGATGCTGGATCATTTGGGCTTTGGATCCCATGTCATTGTCTAGCATAATCCCAGCAAAGCTGTCACCTAACTCATGTTACTTCACCTCTTAGGGACTCATTTTCCTTGCCTGTATCATGAAGATAATAATGCCCTCCTTCTGGGATTATGTTGAGAAAATATATGCTCCCATGCCTCTTAATAAATGCCTCTGGACCATAAAGTTTTAAATTATTAGACATTTTATATTGGTTTTCAAATTGTGTAACAATCCTTAAGAAACAAGAAACATTTTAAAATTGGGGTCAGAAATTACTAATGCAAATGACCCTTAGGAGAAAATCACAGCATATCAGTGGTTACTATTAGCAAATGAATTTGTCTTCAGGTATAGGCACTGCAGTATCTTCTTCCACAGAAGTAACCACCAGCAACTCTGGGTTATCGCGATTCACCTGGGCTGCTGAAGCAATTATTAGGAGTTTGGACCACTTGACTTCCAACCTCCCAACTCTAAGATGCAACAGCTCTTCCCTTATCTCTTACCAACAGATTGCAGCAGGGTGAGAGTGAAAGCCATCTCTCACCTACCTTTTACCCCCCAGCACCAGCAGACTGCCTCACACACTAGAGTGCTTGCTGTATGCCTACGAAATGTATGAAGGCTTGTGGAAGGGTGAGTATGCTAGTTTGTTTTGGGTGTGCCAAGAGTGGTTGACAGCAGTGATGGCCACTTTGAAATATGAAGGGGAGACTCCTGATGTGAAGTCAGATATGAAGGTTCAAATCTGGCTCTTGCAATTGCTGTATGATGTCAGTCACAGAGATGACTGCGGGTCTCTGGCAGTAGGGTAGGCACTCAGCAGATGGTCACAAAAGAACATTTTAAGGTCTGGACTAAACAGTACTGATGAAAACACTGATCTTCCTGGGACATGCAGATGTTAACCACTCAGAAATAGGCAACTCTAAGTTCCAGAAAATCATGGTGATTTCAGGTGACAGTGCTTAAAAATTTGATTTTATACTTCTGCTTTGAAAGAAATGCAATAGTACATTGTTGCCTTTTTCTTTCTTTAGAATGTAAGGACTTTCTTTTGCTCAATGCTATATATTTCAGGTTCCTTGAGTCCTAGACACAGAGGATTCTCAAAAGATACTTGTTGAAAGCATGAATAGAATGAGCATAAAGACAGCAACACCAGAAATTTCTAAGAGAAATGGCTGCAATTTCAACAAACAAAACCAATAAAACACCTATAGCTTAGATAAGGCCAAGAACATATGCCCGCAAGCAGTCAGAAAGCAAAGAGCTTTCTTTTAAAAATGGATGCCAATTAGTAAAGGAAATGATTTAAGAGTCTAGTTAAGCACTTACTGCTAAGTAGGATCATTTGTTCAAGCAACAAAGGCCAGTGTGGCAGGACCAGGGGACAAAGTGGAACAAGGAGGCTGAAGAGAAAGACCAGGCAACACACTCTGTATGCAAAGGGAAGTCACTGGAGCAATGTAAGCGAACGAATGACATGGTGTGCTGGATGTGTAAAGACCATTCTGGGCCAGGTGTGGTGGTGCACACCTCTAATCCCAGCAACCTGGAAGGCTGAGGCAGGAGGGTGACACATTTGAGGCCAGCCTCAGCAACTTAGTGAGACCCTGTCTCAAAAATAAGGAGGACTGGGGACATAGCTCAGTGATAAACTGGCCCTGGGATAAATTCCCTGTACCAAAACCAACCAACCAAAACAAGACCAGACCAGAGCCCTCTGAGAGCTGTTAGAGGGGAGTTGGAGAGGGAGAAGACAGTGACAGAGTCCAGTTAGAAGGTGGCACCAACAGTCCAGGAGAGATGTTAGTGGACCATCTCTGGGCAGCAGAGACGGCTAGAGGTGCATTATATTTAGAGTTAGAATGGAAGGGCTTTTGTCAGATTGGCTGTAACAGAAAAGGTCGAGGTGACCCCCGAGGTTGGGGTTTGAATGGCCAGGTGCAGCTCCCAGGCAGAGAACAATGCAATAACTAACAGTAGAGAGGAGGGCCTCTCACTTATTGCCTTCCTAAAAGTACAGGTTACAAGTGACAGGTGCCATTTGGAGGGGCCACAAAACTACTACTGCTTTTTTTTTTTTTTTTTTTTTAAAGACAGCAGGTTAAATCTCAGACTTATGTGAAGAAAGTCAGTGCATTAGAGAACAGTTAAGTGTGTTTTCCAATTTGAGAGGCTAGAAAAAATTGCTAGTTAACAGCCCTCAGTAAATATGCGGATCACACCGTGGGACGCGGGGCCCGTACACACCCGTCGCTCTTCTTGAGCAGGTAGCCCTTCTTCTCACTGCCGTACTCCTTGTTGCCCTGGAGCTGATGCATGCTGTACCCTCCTTGCCGGCTCTGGGAATCCTAGAAAATAGAAACCACTAATTAAGCTCAAGCTGGAGACGATTTTCAAATCCTCGACTCTATCCTGCCCTTGAGCCTTTGCCCATTGGTCTAAGAATTATGAAGCTTTGAGAGCTGTGAGGTCTTTGCCTTGGTTTTAGGAGGAGGAAAAGGGCAGGAAAACATGTGCCAGTCACAAAGCCAGTCCGAGGAAGGGCTGGGCCTGGGTCTCCTGTTTCTAGCTCAGAGCCCAGCTCTACTCTGAAGTGAGTTCAAACACACACAGGGCGCTGGTGGGCTACCAGACGACCAGTTTACACAAACAGCAGAGGCGAGCACAGGAAGCAATGGAAAGACAGGTGGACCCAGCTCTACTCTGAAGTGAGTTCAAACACACACAGGGCGCTGGTGGGCTACCAGACGACCAGTTTACACAAACAGCAGAGGCGAGCACAGGAAGCAATGGAAAGACAGGTGGACCACAAAACAAACCCGTGCAACCCATGGGGGCATGCCATTGGTGCCCCACCACAGTTTCTAAGGACTATGTGGCCAAGCGGCCACTACGTCGTGAAAGCCTAAGAAACAAGTGACAAATATTGGACTGTAGCATGACAACATGGGTGTCTAGACATGGAAGTAGGACAATACATTCTCACAGGAAGTATGGACTTACTCTCCTAGACTTCGATCAGGAAGGGCAAAAGCAGAGAGAGAAAAGGCAGAATGTTGGAAAATACAGTTAATTTTGTTGAAAACGTTGACACTCATAATTTAAACATTTCATATAATGCACAAAGAGAACATCGCTGTAAGAATAATACCAGAAAACACGATCGTGTACCTTTGGAATCATGATAACCCTTGGGTGACGGGACAGTAAATATCTTACACCTATAGGGTTCTGCTGGGCCATGTTGAGTGACAGCAGAAATATAGCAGAATGGAAGAACATGAGGTATAGGTTACCAAGATGCAGTGTAGACAAGCTTCAATGCGTGTGGTCAGGGAATCAATAACTCAGTGAAACTCAAAATTATTTACTTAGAAAACTTCAGAAGAGCCATAGATTGTAAGAGTTCAAATAAAGAGAGCCGAGTGCATACATCCAGTCTATAAGAGACACCTAAAATGTGGTGGTGCTGCGGGAAGCTCAACCAGCCGCACTGGTTATCTCTTGATGGATGTGCACAACACACCTCAAGGCCAGGGTGGCTTCTTTCAGACATTCAGTCCTCTGGGTCAAACAGTGTGTGATCAGTGAGGCAAATTAGTGGGAGGAAAATTTCTATGACCGTGCGCCTTTGTGAGGCTATTCCAGTCGTGATAAATTCTGTGTTCAAACCTAAAAGCCTGGACAGAGGATGCAGTCCTGACGTGCAGGTGGACGCTCACACTCTGACCACGTTGCTGTCCTGCTCTCTCGTCAAGTAGCTAGAGCCAACTATATACCAGGCAAGCTGACTGATGTTAAAGAGGTCACAGATTCAAGTCACTTTCTTACTCTTGAGTAATTTCTCTAACAATCCAGATTCCTTTCATGTAACTAGACAATTTTAACATGGGCAGGGGTGGGGCATGGAGTGAAATCTGGCAATCTCTTGTGAAACTCTCCTAAATGTTTACCTTTAAACAGAATCAGAGCCTTGAACTGCATAGTAACTGAGCTCACGGACTCCTCCCTGGTAGGCATTCCCTTGCTTTCTGGATGGAGACAGGACTGAGGGACTAGACTGTATGCCAGACAGGCAGAGGAGCGACCCTGCCCTCCCAGTGCCTCCAGCTACAGTCCCTAGGAACAGTTGGGGCAATTTCCTCTTCTTTTTAAAAAATATACATATTTTTAGCGTTGATGGACCTTCATTGTATTCATTTATTTTTATGTGGTGCTGAGGATCAAACCCAATACCTCACACATGCTAGGCGAGTGCTCTACCACTGAGCCCCAACCCCAGCCCTGGGACAATTTTCTTGAGGGAGGCATTATAAACTGACAAAGAAAAATTAGGACTGAAAATCAGCTCAGGTAGCAGGAACTGAGGCCCGGGACAAAATAAGGGCAGGGATTAGTGAAATCCACAAAGCTCTCTGCTTTACTCCAGTGAAATCACATGAGAATTACAACTACTGATTTAAAGTCAGGGACCTCCCCTGTCTCCCAGAAACATTAAAAACAAAATCTAAAATCTCCTTGATATCTTCTTAAAACCGTCTCTAAACTTGACTCATTTGATAGCCTTTAAAATACAAGTCTAAGTTTTAAAAATAAAAGTACTCACACATTTTTCTAAACATGGATTCAGATGAATGATGTATGAAAATTATTATAATCTTTAAACTTGGTGTGAAAACAATTCCTTACATATAATTTATTATTTGCCCACATAAACTTTAAATTCTAAATAACAAGTGCTTGAGTTGAATGGGTTTGCTGTATATCAGGCAAACATATTTCTAAGGGTGAACAAAATTGCCTTAATCTAGGCTTTGATTTTATTAAACTGAACAGAAAGAAGCAATATGTGGCAAAAGTCAAGCATCAGTAATACCAAAATGACTATTAGTGAGTTTCATGGCTTAATAAAGTTCTATCAATTATCATTTGTGCACGTGGAGAAATGATAGCCTTTCAGGTGGCTTAGCAGAGTACTATAAATAAATGAAAAGGATTTTCTCTTCCGAGAAAGTAGGTATTGGAAAATCATCAACACAATCATATAAAAACACAACTGAAGAAATAGATCCTGAATTCATTCATAGCATAACAGAAGTTAAGTATGTATTCAGAAAAGAGAAGCGCAAATGGAAAACTCATTTGGGCAAATATATGTAATATTAAAAATAAAGAATGAACTTAAATCCTTGGGGAAATTTCATGATGTGAGGCAGGAAATGTAAACTATAGAATGAAATTGCCCTATTATTTTTAGCTCAATTTCCTATCCTCTTATTAGTAGTGCAGACAAATCACTTTCTTATCTGAAACCGTATTAACATAAAATCTATTATTAAGGACTAAAATCTCAATCTCTTTAAACTGCAAGCAATTACACATACTCACTGATTTAATGGGGGTTATAAATGTTTCTGGTATTCAATTCAAAACCAAACTTCTACTGCTTCAATTTTCAATTAAGCGTGTGGATGAGTGGGCAAAGATCCCTTCTGTTTTGTCTTACTAAATGCTTATTAAGCAGTTTTGGGGTGCCCAGCAATGTGCCAGATATTGCAAAGTAGACAGAGAAGAGCAATGCATGGAATCCCCCAAACTTACAAATCACACTGTGATGGCGATTCAGCGCCTATCAGTGACTCAAACAAAAGGCAGGAATTTTTGAAATGATTCAGTACACTCTGAATATGACTGACAGACATCACCACTGAAAATAGAATATTTATAACCCTAAAGATAGTTAGGGAACAAATAGTTCTTTTGGGAGGTTAGGATATTCTATTGTAAGAGGTTAAGATAGCTAATTTCATAGTACACCTGCCAAATAAAGACTTAATAAATAAATAAATAAATAAGACAATAAAGAGTTAATTTGATTTTGACAAGGAAAAAAAAAAACAAGCCTTCCAAAAATCTGGGCATATTATTCACAATTAAAAATTTTAAAGTTTCCTTCAATGGAGCCATGTTAGAACATGGTGGGGGAGACAGGCTAAAAGATTTGTTGGGTGTTTTTAATTTCTTAGGTAACCTTTTATATTACTTTACACTGTTCAAAAAGTAGTGCAATGATGAGAACTCTCTGGTGGATACTCTCCTCTCACATTGAATCTAAGTTGTTAAAAATCATTAGCTTCTAAACATAGTTTGCAACAAGAGATAATAAAGAGCCATGTGAAAGGGACAGGTATGTTGTGAAAGATCAATTTTTCTTGTAAAACACTCTGGAATATGCTGCTAATGGAAACTTATTTATTAATTTGGGGTAGAATTAAAACAAATCAAAACATCTGCTTTGCATCATGTACATATTCCTTTTGTTTGGAGAAAACTTTTTCTTTAGTTAGCTTAAGCAGAATACATTAGTCTCTATGCAAAACAAAAAAGGGACTTTTTTTTCCAATAAAGTATCCATATATAGGAAGAGGTGATCCTGTTGACAAAACAGATAGCAAGTGGTTAAGTGCATACCAGTAAGAATTCTCACTTTTCTCTCAGATACAATCCACCCAAGGCCCCCTGCCATTTGAGTCTTTCAACGGATTTTTATACTGAGAAATCACTCAGGGGGGAGACATCTTCTCTAAGAAGGTGAGTGGTGGGACTGATTTTCAATCTGATGCTCAGGAAGGCCTCAGATCACAGGTGCAGGAAGCGCCTGAGACTGCTGGGTACAGATATTGCCTCAGAACACACAGATCTTCCTGGCCACCATGCCTTCTCCACAGGTGAGCAGGTACTTTCACCTGAGAAAACCCCAAAGCATATAAAAACTGCATTGGAAAAGCAGGCGAACAGCAAGTTACATCCGCTCAGTGAGGAAAACCTCCAGGGTTGCTGCATAGGCCCCGTGTGGCTGGCGCAGGGCTTCCCACACTTTAAGGACGGTTGCTTCATCTTTGTTCTGGACTCAGAAATTCCTTTCAGAAACTTTAGGAATTAGAAAAAGTGAGAATGCTACTGTTGTGAGATAGCATGAGAAATTGACAATATAAAAAATGACTATTAATATTGCATTTGAATACTTAAATTTAATCCATAACAATCTCATAACATAAACAGGCACATTTGACTTTCTTCCATGTAACAAATGGTACGTACTTATTTTTCAATTTTCCCTTATTATGAAATCCAACATTCAAGGTCCTTCATAATCAGAACTGAGTTTTTATCTCAGAAACCCACTGCTTATTCTTCTACCTACCCTGCCTCAAACTGTTTGCAGTCTTCTACCTCTGAGTTTCTCTCTGGCTGCAACCTACCTCCCAAGAACTCCTGAATAGCACTGCTACTGATTTAGGCATGACTAATGGGTTCATGCTTCTGACTCAGTCTAGATAATGAGTTTCTTGATGGGAGGGACTGCAGCTTAATACCTCAAACAGTGCTTGGCACACAGTAGGTATTAACTGAATGGTTGAACAAATGACCTTTATAATTAAGGTTACTGCAGTCATCTAACATCTACCATGCACTGTATACTTTGTTTCAATATCCAAGGAACATTTTACCCAAATTTTTCTGTTTATGGGGCAAAGCTTCTGTAGGATTCTGCCTACAGAATAAATAAACAATAAATAAATAAATATTTCCTTATTTCCCTGGCAAAATGAGACATGCCCCTTTGGCTGGATATAAGGTTTAGCAACATGGGGTGTACTGCCTTTCCTTCGAGGGCAGAATTAGAACTCTAGAGTCACAGAATTGTAGATCAGGGTATCTTTTTTTATAATGGAAAGAAAACTAAAATAGGGTTTCTACACTGGGCATCACTGTGGGTGCACATTGGTCCCTCACATCTCTTTGTCCCCACAACCACCCTGGAAGGAAGCCATAAATGTGCCTGTTTTGCAGAGCAGGAAACAGAAAGGGTATCAGTAGCAGAAGCAGCCTCACTTACACTGTTAGCCCTGCTGGGAACATATAAACCACCTACTTCTTTCTGATCAAGCTGAAGAGAGGATTTTATTAAATCTCGAAGTGCAGTGAGCTGTTTCTTTTCTTCATCCTGGGTCTGTTTTATCTATGAAAGAAAAAAATCATCTTCTGTTACTTATCATTCATACTTTTATGAGCAGAGTTTGATTTATCCAAATATAGCACTCATTAAACAATTCAATGACACAGTAGATTTTCTTATTAGTCCTTCCTAAAGTCTTATTTTTGATATGAGAGGCATGGTCTTCTCATCCTAAGGAAGTACCAATGAGTTCTGGAATTCATGAACAATGCACCATGCTGTCTTATTAAATAATACATCCAGGCGAGGCAAAACCCTGAAGCAGGAAGGTAAACTGATATAATACTGAGATCACTGATTCTAGCTTTTCAAAGTGTGGAGGTAGGAACACCACGATGGGATTAGATGGGCCGGAAGAGAAGCACACGGACAACCAGGAATCCCATGGGCCAGTGCACAACGAAGGTTCATGCACACCATGTGAGGACAAGAGACTCCTGCTTTTTAAAAAATCACTTGGAATTTAACTGTAATCTGAACCACATAAACTATTAAAAGAAAATTACAAAATAAATACTATGTGCTTTCAAAGTTATATTAAAAACATAGGTGGAAAATTCCTTATCTAAGACCAGAGTGTTTTTTTGTTTGTTTTTAGAATTTTGGAATATATGCACAATATAATGAGATACCTTGAAGATGGGACACAAATCTAAACATGAAATTCACTTTTATTTCACATATACTTTATAAAAATAGGCTGAAGGTAATTTTCTACAGTATTTTTAGCACACCTACATTTTGACTATAACCTGTCGCAGGGTCATGTCAGTCAGTGCCCCAAAAGTTTCAGATTTTGGATTCTGGATGTCTGGATGAGGGATGTTCAACCTATATAAGGCATAATTTACAATGCCAAAACCTTATCTGAAGATATTTCCTCAGATTCATAAAATACATTCTTTTAATACTGCTTACAAAGAGCTTCATGTAGGCAATGAATTTGCCATTTGTATGTTTATATTTAGCTTTTTTTCCCAGAAAAGTTTTCCTTTTGGCTTAAAAAAGTGAAACACTGGTATTTTGAAGAAAAAAAAAAAAGAGCAAAATAAATCCATAACTCTGCTTACTCAGATAGTTATGTAATTTATACCCTTCCATGGCCAAAAATTGTTCCTGACTAACCGGCATTAAAATTTGAAGCTATGTAGTCCTGAACAGAGAACCATCTAGAACCAAAGGTTATATACTCCCCTTCCTGCTACTCCCATGCACCCCAAAGATGCATAGGAGGAGTATCTGACAAGTGGTAATTGCTCTGAGCTAAACAGAAGGATCATTTAAGCTTTTCTGCTTTTGATACCATTCTTGAACAGATTTCAAATTTACTGATGTTTGCCACGAGTTGAAATGCATGTATTGCAGGGAGAACTTACATTATATAAATCAGCAGCCAGTTTTTCAATGTACTGTTTCAATTTATCAGCTGTTTTCAAGCCATCTTGGAAGAAACTATAATACAAAACATTGGCAGTTTATCAGCAATGTAAAAAAAAGAACTATAATTACCTGAAAAATCTGAAAACACAGACCCTCTTATTTACCTTCACAAAACAAGTATAAAACAAATTTCAGTATTTTGTAAAGATGCACCACCAACAACAAATTATGGCTAGTATTTCACATCTGATATCATAGTCACTGTAAATTACTGTTGCAGTCCTCACGTGATGATTTCATAATGTGTCCACCCATCTACACGTAGAACAATTCCTCCTGGTTGAGCCACATTTGAATTCAAGAAAGAAAAACATCTTAACCACTGGCATCCATGAAGTCAAAGTGGCCACCACGAACAGAGATGTGACTGGACTAGAGGGACAGGCAGGAGGGAGGTCAGAGTTCTTTCAGTCCCCCAGAGGGATCTGTATTCCAACACATGCTTAAAACAGAGGACTTCAAAGCAACAGTACAATGGACCTGGAAAACGGAATGTCAGCACATAGGTAGAAAGGCCTGAATCCTAACAAGAGCTAACGCCAGCGGAATGAATGAAGCACTTCAATCTCATCCCTGTTTTTAAGAAGGGTACATGGAGGAGAGAGAGCACAGGACTTGCTCAGGTTGTTCACACAGAGACAGACGACTGAGACTCAGGCCTCCCTGATTCAGTAGCCTTGCTGTCGACACCAGAGGGAGACTTCCTACTGCAGGCAGAGCATTCCACTCAGGGGCCCAGTGTGTGACATCAGCTTAGTACAATGAGCTGCAGGACACTGGTATTTACGAATTCTACTGCTCTACTGGAAGCTTCTCTAATCATGCCCCCACTGTCCATTATTTCTCCATGGACTGTATCTGTTCTTCTGTCTCCCTACAGACAATGAGGACTATCTTATCTCCATATCACAGCCAGCCCTACACAATGCAGATGCTCCACAAGTGCCTGCAAATGAAGCAACAGCAAGATATTTTAGGGTACATTTTACACTTCTTCTCTACGTTCATTGCCAATAAGACAACCTATCAGAACTTGCCTTCACAGTGCCAGCATTCTTTAAGGCTGAAATCTTTTGGTGGAAAAATTTTACCAAATTAAGAGAAACACTATTTTATAAAATCTTCCAGCAAAAGGGACAGGGGGAAAGACACCTTTTTGGTCAACTATTTAACTGGAAAACATATTCAAGTCCTCATTTTCAGGTTCTCACCACATTCTACAGGGATGCAAGTGAAACTTCTTCATACAGAATTAAAGAACTTGTATCTTATGTCCCTTGAATACTTTTCTGATTTTAACTTCTACTATTTTCCCTTAAAAACTTTAGGCTCCAAGCCAGGTGCAGGGGCACACATCTGTGATTCCAGAGACTTGAGAGGTTGAGGCAGGAGAACTGTGACTCCGAGGCCTGTCTCGGCAATTTAGTGAGATTTTTGTGTCAAAACAAAACCCTAAAGGACTGGGGATGCAGCTCAGTTGGATAAAGCACCCCTGGGTTTTATCCCTATTGCAAAACAAAACCAAACCACCACCAACAAAACCAAAAAGCAATAAAATAAAAAACAAAATTAACAACAGAAATTGTTGGCCTGCAGCCATGCCACACTATTTCCAGTTGCTTGTTCCTTCTCAACCCATGGCAGACGGTGAGGAATACGAACATGACCATCACTGCAGGAAGCTCCACTGGATGGTGCTGCTCTATGAATAAGCAAACAGATCTGAGCCTAATGCAAAGAAAGTGCTATCTACAGTGTGATCCCACTGATGTGCACACCAGGGATACCTAAGTTCAGTCATCTTTTGAGTTCGAAAAATGTGTTTTGTTTTTTTTCCCTTCAGCTTCATTTTCTAAAAACTTTCCCCTAAAACATGGCATATTACTGAAGCAAAAAAGATTAAATAATTGATGTTTAGTCTGGGAGGACAGGTTGAAGGCAAGCTTCTCGGAAAAAGTCATCTTAGGGCCAATTTCTAGTTTTGGAAACAGGAGCAGAAATGAAGGATGGGTTGCAGAGAGAACAAAATGACCAAGAGAGTCATAAGTAAAGCCATAAAGAGCAAATGCCAACATGCTGCCAACCGCACTGTCCCTCTGGTGATTCCTTTCTTTGCATGCTTGATTCTCTCTCCTTGAGAAGGACACAGAGCCACTACCTGTCACACTTCAGAGGGCAGCAGCTTCTCTCTTCCCCTCTTCCTCTCCACTGCAGTTGGCTGCAGTTCCAAGGAAATGCAAGGGCTTGGGAAAGTCAGAAGCATGATGTCCTAGCTCTAAACCTTGCTAGATGTGAGTCCTGGGGCAGGGTAGTGGCCCTACATGAAGAGCGGCATGCTCACCTCTGCAAGTGCACATTAACTTTGAGGAGCACTAGACAAGCTACTTACTACAGACGAAAAGTGTTCTATCAACTGGGAGTTAAGCACAAGTGTGAGCTCTGATTACCTATCACGGAATTTGACGTGCAAATCCTCCAAATGGAAGGAAATCACCTGTCTGGCACTTGTCTCAGCCATGTTCTCTGTCCATATTTACTGAAATATGATGAGATCTTCAGAAAATTGAGAATGATGACAACAGTCACAATAGCAGCTGTCATGAACTGAGATTTTTCTCTGTGTCTGTCACTATTTTGCACCATGCAGGGAATATCTCTTTTTAAAAGTTTCATTATGGAACCAACCATGTGATTAGAGCAGAGGAACCTTCAATCCTCCTTCTCCTCCCACCTATGGGGAGGGGAGTGGGGCTGGAGATTGAGTTTATTACCAGTGGCCAATAATTTAATCAAGCACGTCACATAATGGAGCTTCCAAAAAATTCCCTAAATAGAGGTATTCAGAGAACTTCTGGGTTAGTGTAGGAGAGCAGCATATCGAATTCCATGGGGACAGAAACTCAAGACCCTTTTGGATCTCACCCTATGTGCCTCATCATCTACCTGGTCACTTGTGTCTTTTATAATAAGTCAGTAACTTAAAAAAACAAAATCTCACTGCAACTCAACACCATAGGTAATTATCACTAGTCCTTATATAGGAAAAGGAGACGATCACTTGGCCTGGGAGAGTTCTGGAGAGCCCTGAAGATAATGTGCTTATTAACACAACAGGCACAGACATGTAGTTCAGCACGTGACAGTCCCAGGCCAAAATGAGCTTCATTAGTTTTCTGACCTTAGAGAAGGCAAGACTGGCTTCACAACTTAATCAAGCAGCTTGAGATACATGTCACCACATTTTAATGATACAGGATGCTAAGAAAATTTAAGTTGCCAGCTGATGGGCAGAGGGACCTCATATTTACACTGACAGGCTATAACACACCCACAGCCCAAAGTGCAAAGCCATGTTCATCTAATAGGGATACCCGTCCACTGGCAGAACAATCTCCAGAAAACAAATCAGAGCCTTAGCATCCAGAGTCCCTATGTCCTTCATTTTTAGCCTTCTTAATTGTGTCCAAACAGCAATGGGGAAGGAAAACCAAGCAAAACCAGAGTGTCTCCCTGATCCTCCTGGTCAGATTCTGTTTGAGTTGGCCTAGAAGGAGATGCTGTTTGACTAAAGGCTAAGAGAACCTATTTTCCAACCCACCAAACAAATTAAACAATGAACTGACTAGCCCTCACACCTTCTGAGAGCCTGGTCTCCCAGCCTCAGGCTCTGAGTCAAGAACTAATTCCCTGCCTTCCAGGTAACAGGGTGACTTCCTTCCAGACACACTCTCCACATCTGTGGCACCAGTGAGCTTGAACATACAGCACTAATCCAACAATTCAGATCCAAGTGGCAGTCCTGAACCCACTCCTGGAAATTAAGCCTTAAAAACGTGGATGTCTAGGCCCAATCCCAGGCTTACCAAATCAAGGTTTCTGGCATGCTGTCTAGGAGCATGTACTCTGAAGCTGGAGACCTGGATTGAAGATTTGGTTCCATTACTTTCTAGCTATAAGTTTTGTGAGGGTAATTTGTTTTATAGTTTTTTAATTTCATTTTTTCCCTCGAGATAAAATTCATATAATAAATTTCAGTTTTAAAGTGCCCTATTTAGTAGTTTTTAGTATATGTGCAACATTACATAACCATCGCCAAAAATTCCAGGACTTCCATCACCCTCCAGTGTCCTGCGCACAGCAGTGTCCACCACTTCCTCCCTTCTCCTCTGCCCTTGCAACCATGAAATCTGCCTTTCGTCTCTATGGGTTTACCTTTTCTAGACATTTTACACAGAATCATACAATATGTGGTCTTGTGTCTTAAGCATGTTTCAAAGATCCATCTCTGTTGTAGCATGCATTGGTACTTCATTCTTTTGTATGGCTGAATACAACTCCCTTGTGCGGTGACACCACATTTGTTGAACCATTCATCAGCTGATGGTTATATATATCTTTCCATTTTTGTTTATTACTTTAATTACAGGGCTGTAGTGGGTGTGGTGTCTGTGGTTTTTAAAATATGTTCTTTATTTATGTTAGTTGTGAACGAACCTCCTTATTTATTTATTTTTTATTTATGGTGCAGAGGATCAAACCCAGTGCCTCACACATGCTAGGCAAGTGCTCTGCCACTGATCTACAGCCCCAGCCCCTCACTGTGATTTTGATCTGCATTTCCCTAATGACCAACGACATCAAGCATCTTTTCATGTACTTTTGGGCTGTTTTTCTCTCTTTTTAAACATAAAATAGAAACTAACTTTATTTCTCTGGAAGAAGTCAATATTGATAGCTGGGGCAGCAACTCTGGCCACAGAGGCTGGTGGGAAAACATGGATGGCACAGGGGAAAATGGGTCAAACAGCACTGGTGTCCCTCAGGAAAGCTGCCCCCCTTGGTCTCCTCCCAATCCTGGGGCCTTTGGCCCTGGTCTTTGCCATAAGATGGTCTGGAACCCTTTCTCTGTCTCCTGAACCACGTTGGGCTATTTTTCCAGGCACAAGATTCTAAGATCAAACAAGCCCCATAACGTGTCCATGGTAAGATCACAAGTCACATTCTTTTGGCACCCCCAAATGTCTCCCGGGGCTCTCTAGAAGAGTGCCAAGCCCTTATGGTTTCCCAGGTGTTGACCCATCTTTGGGCCAACACATCCTCCTGCCCAGGACACACACTCCAGTCACAGGCCCCATCAAAGACTAGAGGCAGAGGCAGGTCACACACTGCCTGAGGAGGCAGCCCCAGCCTATTACGGGGCTCCTGCTCACCTCCTAGCTGGGGCACTGAGTTCTGAACCAGAGTGTGCAGGGACAGCGTCTGCTGAGAGAAATGGGCAAAGCAGAATTCCAAGCCTTCTGCTGCCTTGGCCTTGCTCTGCCCCCTGGGAGCAGCAAGTCCTCCAGGCCTGGTGGGGAGTGTCTCCTACCCTTTCCCATGGATGGGCTCAAGTGCTTCCTTCAGAGCAGACTCTTGCTCTCCAGATGCCTTTGAATGCTTGTCATGGGCAGGGCTGCTGGAGCCCAGCAGTGGGCAGCCGGCTTGTTCCAGGTTATCTGTATATCTCTTTTAGAAAAATGGCTATTCATAATCTTTGCACATTTAAAAAATTGAGTTGTCTTGTTGAATTCTTTCTACATTCTGTATACTGGATCCTTATCAGATAGTGGTTTGCAAATATCTTCTCCCATTCTCTAAGCTGTCTTCTCATTTTCTTGACAACATCCTTTCATAAGCCAAAGTTATAAATTTGGGAGTCCAGTTCTTTCTTTGGTTTTCTGTGCTTGCTATGTCTATTTTGACACATTTTTTAGATATCTATTAAATAAGACTTCCAGCGAGTTCTTTATACTTTTTGAGCTATATTTTCTGATTGCTCTGAATAGGAAATGAGAAAATGCATGTAAAGAATTCTGGAAAGGCTATACACCCTGGCCTATAAAATAAGCTCTTGGCAAATGTCAGGTTTTATTACTGTTTGTAAGATGAAGGATAATAGAGCAATGTTTGCAAAAGCTCTTGACTGTGCAGATTGTAGTGATAACCCAGGTGGTAAAGGAAATAGGTGAGCAAGAGGATGTGTTTGTTTTGAGAGCAGCACATTACTAACCATGCTCGTGTTTGAAGTAAGGAGTAATTAGAGTGGGTGAGCTGAAATGGGTAAGAAAAAGTCAAGAGCTCTTTCCTGCTCCCTTTATTTCTTCATTGTTGTAGCTGCATCCACATTAAGGTGTCATGATACATGAGGTATTGCCTTGCAAATTCACTCTTTAGTACCGGCTGATGCTGTATTGAAAATGATTTGGGAACTGGAATAAATGCTCAGAAGAAGAAAATTTTTAAACAAAAATCTGAGTAGAGAATGCTTTATAGATCCACAACATGCCTTTTAGGAGTTCTGAGGGACTGGCTAAAGTAGGAAAAAAATAAAATGCTCCTTGAACAAGAACCTCCACCCTGGCATCTTGCTATGATGGAACTCTGGGTCTAACCATGGGGTAACTTATAGTTGAATTTCAGTATAACCCAGTTCTACCATGAGGTCTTAGAACTGCACACAAGGTTCTTCACGTGCAGAGTTCTTCTTCTGCTCATACTTCTCTGTCCTAGGGGGAGACTTTCTCACCAGAAAAAGTCAGCCATCCTTGTCCAATCGTGAGTACTACTACCTCCTCCAGGGTACAGTGACCCACCTTCTCAGCCTTCCTGGCCAGAAGTGTCTCCTTTTTGTCTCCTTTTATGTCTACGTCACCAGTCACTGTTTAGAATCACTGCTATTACTGATGTGCATGACCTAATTCCTGTACCAGACAATTAAGTCCCAAGAAGAGAACCCTTATTTAATTTCTGCCCCAGAACCCAGCAAAGTAGCTGGACTTTGGTAGGAGATTAATAAATATTTCTGAGCAGGGAGAAGCAAAGAATAAAAGAGTAAAGGGAGGACACATTAGCTAATACAAGTTAGGGTTGCTCTTCTCATCTTTGCTAACAAGGCTACAATGCGTGTATTTTACAAAGCCTCTTATATTTGGAAAACTCATGTTTGTGTAGCTCAAACTCTTCATTCAGACTTAGAAAATCTGAGATCAAAAAAGATTTCTAAAATCAGGTTAAATCAGATTTGCTACCAAAGTGTTGCAATTCAGAAGATCGAGAGATTCGCTTATTTTGGCAAAAGTTTCAAAGCAATAAAAAGTTTCTTAATAAAATCAAAATTGATGAAAGATGAAAAATTCCACCCAAAACTAAAATCAGGGATCACCACAATATCCTTCCAAGTTTCATAATTGTCCTACTCCACTTCTAAGTCAAAAGGAAGTTCCTAGTCTTCAGTACGAGCCTTCATCGGTCAAGTCAAACACTATCCTATAAATGTGGAAGCTATTTCCACTTAAATATATGCTTTTTATTTTTGATACACATTTATACGAGGGTAGAAAAGAGAAAAAAAGTTATCAAGTTAAATTTATGTAAATAACAATGTGATCATTAAAAAGCTTTTCCTAAAGAGAGACATCCCAACAACAAAATATATCGCACATCCTCAAAAGAACCCTGAGTGGTACTACAAACCTTACCCCAACTTGACAGATGAGGACACTGAGGTTTGGTGAAGAATCTGATAGTGAAGGACCTGATCACGTGTCCCCAGCCCCAGGGTCAGAACTTGATCTAATCTACTACATGACTTGAGCCTTATGCTGTTGTCATAAGATTAATGCTGACCTCCCTAAATGTTTCAATTGTATATAAAGATCTGTCTAGATAATGCTACTATTGAAAGGAATAAGAGATCAAAGGGAACTATGTATTTAATGTTTTGGAGAGTAGGCACTGTAACCTAGTCCAAATGACCTTGACATTATTCTACTCATAAATGTATATCAGAGCCATCTGGACCACTTTGGAAAGGTCCTTGCCCTATCTTCTCTATAATTTTTACCAATTAATACCAGACTTTATTAGTAACCAGCACATTTTCACATAACACTCTTCCTGAAAACTCATGCAAGTTAACCCAACAAGTAAAGAGGAAGTAAACGGATGCGCTGCCAGAGAATCATGAGAAGAATAAAAAGGCAGCCCTGCAATGCAGACAAACAAAAGTAGAGCCAGCATACAACAGTGGATGTCTCTCAGAACATAACACCATTTCATAGAAACCCATGTTCAAATGAAAAGTATTCTTCATGCCCAAAGCACTCAATTTCACTTATTTAGATGATGAGAAAACACCCCAAACAAATCCAGGTGGGAATCCATGGTATAAATGACCCACTGACAGTAAAACGGCAAGTACAGGAGGAAAAGGGGCCAGCGAAAGGCCCCCATTGGGACAGGACTCGTGTGTCTCTGACACAGGCTGCAAAGGCTGGCCTGCAAGTTCAGCATGTCAACAGAAGACAGCGTGTCAAGTGACCAGTCAGTTGTTCCATTTTGAACTATTAATTTATATAAAACTCTGAAGATAGAACACAATACCATTTCTTGTCCACTGAGCTGTGGAATATCATTATATAGTTATATACAGCCCTAAATGAAGGGAAAAAAAAGCCAAGAAAACCAATGAAGCAAAGGGGCCTTGCCTGGGCTACGGGCTAAGGCTATGACTGCAATGATCTACTTACTTGCACTGTGCGTGATAATACTTTATAAGGTTCTGCAGCAGATCCACACCCTTTTTGGTCTTGATTTCATTGACTTTAATGAGATACTGTGGAGATAAAACAGAATTTTATGTTGCTAATTTCAGGCAGGGTTCTTAAATCATGGGTTCAGGTGGCACACCACCACACTGGGCTACACAAGTCAAAGAGCCTCAGTGGCTTCAGACAAGGTGAGCTTGATTTAGGGAATGCGGATTTGGCACAGTCACAGAGAGTGTAAAACAAACAGATTAGAGCATTAGCATTTTATAAGTTTTCACAATTAGTTTACTAGACAAGCGGAAATAAAACACAGCAAAACATTCTAGAACAACTGAGCAATCCCCCTCGGTGCAATGCATTTCAGACTTATAGTTCACGTGCTCCTGAAAGACAGCTCTGTGCAGAAAACAGGAGTCCCTTCAAGAAAAGTGACACTGGGTGCAGTGGCGCACACCTGTAATCCTAGCTACCTGGGAGGTTGAGGCAGGAGGATCACAAGTTCAAGGCCAGACTGGGAAACTTAGTGAGATCCTGTCTCAAAATAAATAATAAAAATTTTAAAAAGCTGGGGAGTCTTGTTCAGTGCTAGAGTACTTGCCCAGGATGTGCGAGGCCCTGGGTTCAATCCCTAATATTACCCCTGACACCTGCTTAAAAAAGAGAGAGAGAGAGAGAGAGAGAAAAGAAACATGCCATAAGATACCAAAACTTATAATCCAAAGACGTGAATCAAAAAGAATTCTTGTAACTTAAAAATGAAAAAAATAAAAATAATAATAATCTGTTATTAATTCATGTAGTTAACTAAACAGCACTGGTTCTGATTTTCATTACCAGCCAAGATTTTTCTATTGACATTGTTTCTTGCTCACTTTGTTTTATCATAGAAAAGATTTCATGATCAAACAAGTTTAAGGAGTCGAATGTTTATAAGGAAGAAAACACAAAAGAAAATTCAGGAGAGAAAAACTTGAAATGAGAAATTTTTTCATTTTAAATATTTTCCCCAAACTGCAAAAGCATCTCCATTACCCCGAAGTAGCCAGCATTAGAACAGGTTAGAACAGGTCAAAGTCAAGCGGAGCTAGTGTCTGGTGGGGACTCAGTTGGAAAATCACTGCTCTAAGCTTAGGCAGCATGCTCTTGACTGCATGTTTTTCATAAACTCAGACTTCCTCAATGACTCCTTCATTTCAGTCCTTCTTCATTCCAACTGAATTCATGGTTAAGAAAAGCATGCTCTAAATTTTTAATGTTATCAGTGTTACTTCTCACCAAAATTTATCTCCCCAATCACTCACTCACAAGCAACATTAAGGTTCTCACCAAAGAATCCTGTTTTGGCTTAAAGAGCCCCATAGGACCAAGGCTCAAAATATGAGACAACAGGGCAATGATGGATCCCAAAAGGCTTGGAGAAAAACGGAGATTAGAATCCTTAGGAAAGAGTCCCCTCCTCTAACGCCCCAACAGCCTGCTGACTGGCAGGACGCTAGTTACCAAGCTCCAGGCCAGAGATGGAAAAGTCCGTTCCTACCTCACACATTTGGAGCTGAAACAGGCGCCTTTCCTTCTCCATTTCTTCGGCAATCTCGGCTCCTGTTATCTCGGTGCGGATCATCCCGTGCTGTTTTGCATGCTCTCTTTTTTCCTTTTCAATTTTTGTACTATAATAAAAGCAGATATAATTTTTTCCAAACACATTCATGCACAAAACCAGGAGTGAATCCTTCTGGTTTATCAATTCTATCAAATGTACCAGTCTGATGGGAGTTGGCGATAACAGGGGAGGCTGTGTGTGTGGGGTGGGGCAGAGAATATATAGGAACTCTCAGTACCATCTGCTCAGAAAAGAAGCCTTTTGGGCTGAGGATATAGCTCAGTGGTAGAATGGTCCATCCTGGGGCCTCATGCATGCTGGGCAAGCACCCTACCACAGAGCATCTTGCTACCAGCCACACTCCCCTCCCCCAAAGAAACTCTTAAAAAACCAACACACTGATGTCTCCCCTTCAACGAGAGCCCCTATTATTTCTTAATGACTAAACATCAGGAGGCAACAACTTTTAAATCAACAGAATCAACCCTTGGTAAAAATCTAAATTTAAAAAGCACTGACACCTTGTGTGGGTTTTCATCTAGGAAACTTTATATTTTAAATTTAACTTTACACGTGATGGATCCATAAAAATTCTTTTACATTCTGGCTGGCAGGGGGGAATTTCAGATATTTTACCTTTTCTTGTGGGTCAAGCACTTCATGATGGAAATAGCAGCAGAAAGCTGGAAGAACTGAGGCTTTTCTGAGTTACTGATAGATTATGAGACTTAGAATTATTACAAGACAATTAAAGTATATAATGAGTCTTTGTGGGTATGCATAAAAATTAGACAAAAGTTATTTTAAACTTGTGCTATTTTTACATCCCAACAACATATTTTAATCATTTAGCCACTTATCATTAGGTTGTACAAAATAAGGATTGGGAAAATTCCTTATGTATAATTTGGGATTCTATGGAAAAATCTTTCAGTGAGGAGGGAAGGGTGAGGGGGTATCAGGGAAAAAGGAAGCAGGTCACATTAAATCTACAGTACATGAAGCCAGCACTTGGCTGACAGATGACATTTTGCTAGTCACAGCAATGATCATAACTCTGTCCAAAAATCCACTTAAATTTGAAAATGAGCTTCTAATTTCAGAAGAATCACGGATGTAAAGGTTAATTCACTTCACCCTCTAGTCTTCTTTAAGTTGTAGTGGTAGCAGAGTGGGGAGCCAGACACCACAGAAAGTCAGTATGCTCTGTCTATATACAGATGCAGGGAAAACTCACTCTCAACAATGGAAAGTCCACTGCAGATCTGGCCGGTTCATTCTAATTTACTAATGCTGTATTTAAGCAACTCTCTGATCATGACCCTGTGGCTGTCAAAGAGGTGTGATGGTGAGAATTTTAGCACAAAGAGAATGAATCTCAGTTCCCTGTGCACTGACGCAGGTGCAGAGTGTTGCAGAAGTTTGAGAAGAAATGGGGAGGGGGGGAGGCAGGCATGAGTTAATAATAATGCTAGTGCTCGGTGCACTGCAGTGACTTGATCACGTGCGGCTATTTCTTTTTCCTTTATGGGTCCCTTCACATGTTAGTAAAGGCCTCAAAAAATCATGCTCTCCCTGAAGACAAGAACTGATGACAACAGGGAGGAGAGCATTCACAGTGTTTGGAAGACTAGGGCTGAAGAGGAGAGAAAAGTCTGGGCCTTGAGCTATGGGTGCTCTGCCTCTCTTGCTCAGCCACTTCCAGGATGTCACCACATCTAGGCAGGACACTGAGGGCCCCTGAAGACACCTCTGATGCTGACATCTGCAATACTCCTGGCCAGAGGGCCGCCCTGGCGCCCTGCACCTCACACCCAGAGGCTCTGTGCTTTCTCAATGATTCCTGTGGGTGAACCCGAGCATTTCACCAGGTCCTGGGTGGCTTGCTCTGAAATACGGACAAGCAGCCAAGGACTAGAAGACAACTGAGGACAGCTTCTAAAATCAGACTGAGAATGTCCAAAACAATTGGAGAGGAAGGGAGAGAAGGAACCAAAAGACAGATCCTCAGCTAAAACAAAACATTCAAAAACCTGGTTGAGCAAAAGACCTTTTAGATATTAAAACAAAACAAAACAAAACAACAACAACACTGCAATGTAATAACAGAAAAGAGAAGAAAAGTGTAAGAACAACCTAGGAAGCTCAACATTGAAGGATGAGTTGTTTGAAAAAGAGGTAAAAAGAAGAGCCAAGAGGAATTACAAAAAATATTTCCAAAGCCGGGAAAATAAAAATTCCACGTGAATGCACACACCATGGCACATGAAGATTTCATACCGTCTTTTATAAAAAGAAGGCTAATGTTTTCTAACAGATAAATCAATCAATAAAAAAACCACATCTCACATAGGTATAAATGGGAGTCTGAAAACAGGAGTTTTTCTTAAATTAGCAACATTGGAAATTAAAAAACAAGGGAACTGCCTTTAATATTCGGACAGAAAATGGTTACACTATCAGGGCTTTTTATTCAGCGAATTCCATTTTTGTGTGATGGCAGGAGGAAGATAATCTGGACACGTGAGCCTGAAAATCCGACCTCTGTTAAAGTGTTTGGTGGAAACTACTGGAGGTGTTGGGCCAGAGACACGTGTGGGGTGCACTAGGAAAGAGGAAGCAGATTTAAGACTAGAGAGGCCAAGGCAGCCTACAATGACAGCTTACTGCGGATCAGAAGAGCTCTGGGCATGGAGATCTACAGATAGAAAGGAAGGAACTCTCAGATAATTTAATACAAGAGATACAGACATTATTTTAATATGTGCAAGGTACTTTCTAAACAGAAATACTACTGACAGGAGTCTGACATCTACTGGGATGCCACTACTGCTGCCCTTTGGAATGTCGAAGGCAAAGACCTCACTTTTTAAAAAATTTCTGGTATTGTTAACTTAAGGAAAAACCCAATGTCTTTCTGATTCCCACTTATTCGTATATGATATGAGATCATTTCTTAAAAATTCACAAACTATTTTAAGCAAATAAAAAAGCAAAAAAATCATACTATAAGAATGGAAATTCAGGCTGTAGGCCCAGCTACTTGAGTTGAGATGGGCAAGTTCATGAAACAGGAAGGTGGTGCTGGTCCTGGCTGGACGCCACTCAGGGCAAGGATGTCATCATGAAGAACAATAATGATGGCAGATCACACTGCCCCTGCAGCTACACTCTGGTGGTTGGAACTGAAGGCTGTCACCACAAATTGACAGCTGCCTTGGGCAAGAAAATCGCCAAGAGGTCAAAGATCAATTCTTTTGTGAAAGTTTATAACTACGATCATCTCATGCCCACAAGGTACTGTGGATATTCCCTTGGACAAAACTGTTGACAGCGGATGTCTTCAGAAACCCAACCCTTAAGCACAAGGCCCAATGGGAGGCCAAGGCTAACTGGGAAGAGAGGTATGAGACTGCAGAGAACAAATGGTTCTTACAGAAGTTTCAGTTTTGAATTTGTTTGTTTATTTCCACTATTAAAAAAGAAGAATGAAAATCCAATCAAAATACACCATTCAGATATTCATGAAAATATAAACACTGACGAATGGTTTAACCAAGAATTGCATGAACCACACTGGATGAACAGGGTTGAGAAGGTGATGGTGGCTGTGGAAGGAGCTAAATCCTCAGCTGCCACAGCAGTACTCCATACATGCACCAAGGAATGACAGCAAGAGAACACTGAGGGACAGGGACTAAAACAGCAAACAGGTCAAAGGGTTGGAAACGATAGAGGCCCAGCAGGCTGGGAGGGTGGCGAGAACTACTGCATCTTCTTTGGAATCACACTCACTGCCCACCTCGCCCTCCCTGCTGCTTGTGTCACTTGTGAGCCTTGTGCCTTTAAGTGCAACACAGATGCACCAAGCTTGCACTCTGCAAGACAACACAGGTGAGAATTGCTATGTGGGCCTCGGGTCCTTCCTAGAACACTTTCCACTCCGATAAACTTCTACAATGTTGAAACCATTGATATTTGGGGTCTCTACAATATGCTGTGACAATAAGTCCTAACTGAAATGAGCACTATCTGATATTTTATGTACATGTATTATTTTGACCAAATAAAATATTTGATTGTTAAAAGGTTTAATAGAAAGCTGGACACAGTGGCACATGCCTGTAATCTCAGCTACTAGGGAGGCTGAGGCAGGAGGACTGCAAATTTGAGGCCAGCCTTGGCAACATGGCAAGACTCTGCCTCAAAATAAAAATAAATAAGATTGGGAACATAAGTTAGTAGTACAGTGCCCCTGGGTTCAATTCCAATAGAAACTATTTACTGAGAGACTATCCTATTGAAAACTGTCAATACATTATCTTATCCTTAGGAAAAAACCTTAAGAAGTAGGTAATTTTTATATTATTTAACAAGCGAGGATCACTAAAACATACTTTACTATTCTGGCTCAAGATCACAACCTAAAAATAATACTGAAGTCTGTGATCCTTACCATTGTGTTTCACTGCCTCCTGGGTGCTAAATGGAAGACTGTGAACTGGGGACAGTGGCACACACCTATAGTCCCAGTGACTCAGGAGGCTGAGGCACTAGGAAGGCAAGCTTGAGGCCAGCCTCAGCAACTTAGGGAGACACCGTCTCAAAAACAAAACAGAACACAAATAACAAAAAGGACTGGGGATGGAGCTCAGCGGTAAAGCACCCTGGTTTCAATCCCTAGTGAGGATGGCGGGGGGAGACAATAGAAAATGTCCAGCCTTTTTTGGTTATTTGGAAGGTAATAATAGATTCTCTGTGTGTACGTGAAAGTCATTTTGTTTTCTGTGATGTAAACAAATGAGACCTATTACACAAGAGACAATTTGTTTTTTTCCTTCCTGCACCACAAGAAAGAAATCGACCTATTTAGGAAAGTAATTATTTGAAAAGAATTTATTTAGCTGGGTGTGGTGGTGCACACCTATAATCCTGGTGACTCAGAAGGTGGAGGCAGAGGATTGCAAGTTCAAGGCCAGCCTCAGCAATTTAGCAAGAGCTTCTCTCAAAACAAAAAGGACTGGAGATGGAGCTCAGGATTAAGTGTCCATGTTCAATCACCAGTGCAAAATAAATAAGTTAAAAAAATAAATAGAAAGAAAATAATTTAAATTATAAAAGCAAAAACCTTCCTCAAGGTCGTATAACTGAAACCCACTGAACTCACTATTTGAATTTTTTGTGAGTGCCCATGACCTACTTTTCATACAGAAAGAAATGGCCCATAGCATTGGTCAACCATTGTCAGAGCCTTTTGGTTCCCAGCTGCATTTTTAGCTGTTCATGCACAGAAGCATCCCTGGGATGGCAAGTGCCCAACAACGCACTTGTTACATAAGCAATTACAAAAGTAGCTTGGGAAACAGGCTTAGTCCTGAACTTGTTCTTCTTTTGCTTCTCTTTTCATTCCGCTGCTATTGCTGCCTTCCAGAAATGTCTTTATTCTCTTATGTTTACAGTTACCCAACTTTACAGCCAAGAATTTTATTAAAAGCTTTAAAATACACACATCTCCCACCCTATTCTACAGCCTGGTATTACAAATTTCCCAGAGTAGTAACAAAGGGCCATGGTGCAATACCTATGGTATAAACACCAGCCAGGCAGCATGCAAAGTGCTCACTTCCCTAATCCCTCCCTCTGGTCTCACCCCAATGCCCATGTTCTGCTGCTCAGGCTCTGGGGTAGACAGACCTGGAGTGAATGCCAGCTTGATGGCTACCAGGTTGTGTTTTTCTTTTTCTTTCTTTCTTTCTTTTTTTTTTGGTGATGCTAGGGGTTGAATGTCGGTACTTTACCACTGAGCTGTATCTCCAGCCCTTTGGTAAATTTTTTATTTTGAGGCAGGATCTTGCTACGTTGTTGAGGCTGGTTTCAAACTTGCAATCCTCCTGCCTCAGCCTCTGGAGTTGCACCACTGGGCCTGGCCATAACTACTTTTAAACTAGGTCAGCACCCCCAATTTAGGTCTTCCAAGGGCATATTAAGTGTTTTGTTAAGAAGATATTAGGGGCTCTATCCTTTTCCCAATTACTTTCTTATGAAAACAAACAAACAAACAAAAAGCACCAATACTCAAAACAAAAACAAAACAAAACAAAAAACACTTACAACTTTGTCTCATAATCTTTCCAGGCTTTGTCAAATGGCTTCTTGAGATCCTTAGGAGAGAGAGAGAAAAAAATAAAAATAAAAAACTGAATTCTATTTATTTCTGCTTAAAAAGGACAAATATTGAAATTACATTTTAGCAAAAATGACTTCCTTTATGGGCCATTTAAAACTTTTCCGAAGAGGCTCGGTGCACATTATACCACTTATTACACACAGAAGCCCAACAGGGAGGCAAGGTGGGTGCTCCTGGTCATGCTGCCCCAGAGCAGGACCCAGAGATTCCAAGAGGCTGGTCAGTGGTGGTCACACTGGAGGAGCCAACACAGGCCCACCGACTGAGGCGCTCACAGATCTCCTGAAAGTGCCTACTCTCTCTACCCTGTATCAAGCAGCACATCTTTTCCAACGATCATTTTTTGAAGAACATTATTTTAATGCTAAAAATGTTCAGAGTACCTCTCAAGTACATGTACTGTTATGATCTTAACAGGAAAAAAAATATCAATCCTTCCAGTTAAAGTGAAAATCAAAAGTTCTGAATTTTGGACACTTACTCCTTTGACTCCCTTTAGGTCTCCTTTTAACAAGGAATCCAAGGTGAAGATCACATTGTGGCTCAGACCCTGGAGCTGAAAATCAAAACAAAGGAAAGACGGAAGACAGTTAAAAAAAAAAAGCAGCAGTAGGACGATAAAACCAGCTCTTGCTGACCATCTCACACACGGCTCTGGAAGGCTCTGGAAGGCTGTGGCTGTGTATCACCTCACAGAACCTACAGGCTGTCTCCCTGGGGAGGCGGCACAACCCCTGCCACTTGGCACTGAGAAAGGGGGATGGAGGTGGCGTGCTGGTGGAAGCGCAGCCCCCAAGGGGAGCAGGATTTTCCCACTGCTCTGAGGCAGTGGCCTGGGGCTCCTTCCTTTAAAGGTACAGGGAGAGGCTGAAAGGAGATGGAGCTGCTGCTCAGCTGAAGAGAAGAGCAACAGAAGAACCGGGGGAGGGACAGTGAAAGCAGCAGCAGTCCAGGGCAGAGAAGAGCTTGTCACCTGGTCTCTTTAAGGAGCCTCCTAGTACCTTGACGACATCAGTTTTAGTGACCTTGAAATGAGGCTGCAGGACCAGATTAGTGATGGGAAGGCCTATGGATCTCCTCACTCAAGAAACATTCCCACTCAATCTGTGCTCATCAGTCTGTTCTACCTGTCTGTTCACCTGCCTGTCCATCCATCATGCACTGAACACCGACTCTGGGCCACACACTACACTAGAAACAGGTGGTCCTGGGGATTGAACCCAGGCACTTTGCTGGGCCCAAGTGCTTGATGAGTAAGATGATCAGCTGGATGCTGTTCCTGCCTTTAAGGGGTCTGCTCCAAGGGCAGGGAGTGGACGGAGCCAAGGCCGCCACACACTGCCATGCACGTGGCAAGACGTGGGGAATGTGGTGGGAGAAGGACTAGCTCTGACCCGAAGGGGCTCTGTGCGGACCCTCTGAACCACATCCACTGCGTGGGGTGTGAGATCCGACTGAGCAGATGTGTCAACCGAGGCAGTGAGAAGTGCTGTTCACGCCCTGGTAACCCAGGAAGTGCTGAACGTGTTTATTTTTTAAATGTCATGGGGATGCTAAATGAGTAAGGCAACGTGGGAACACAGCGGGGCTGGGAACGAGAAGACCTTTCCTTTGGCTCTGAACTTCTCCCTGATGCTTTCCTGTTGTTCTCAGCCCAGGCTTCCTGCAGCTCCTAAGTCACTCTAACCCTTCACTCTCCCTGAACCCCGTCTAGTTTTACACACAAGTACAACCGGTGGAAACCGACCACTTTCCCTTTTCTTAGTGCAAGGACAAAGAGTCCTACTAAGACAATTCTGTCCAAGTGCTTCTGCCACTGTGTGTGCAGAGAACAGCCGGAGGGCCACAGGCTCAGCTGAGTCCACGTGTTCTGTGAGGGTTCAGGGCATTGGTTTTTGGGAAGTAGGGCAAAAAGCCCACTTAGATTTTATAATCGTTTGTGGCCCTCCAAATGGCCATAGTATATAAATGGTATTACATGTGGAGAACAATGAGGGGGGCGGAAGACGAAGGGTACAGGTAATGATGTTAAAAAATAAATAAATAAAGTTGAAAAACATTGCCTTCGGTGTGAGAGGGAAGAAATAAAGATTAACAGGACTTGTCTTCTGCCCGAGATGGGCAACTTGCTCTGAGTTCTCAATTCCATTCCTGGGGTATAAGTCCCCAGCCCACCATCCACAGACTGTAGAAGTTTGTGTGGATGGTGGGTCAGTGAGGCTGGGGCTTGCCCTGCCCTCCACTACTCAAGCCAGAATCTACCTTTTCCCCATTCAAGAAGATCCCCATGTGATTTTTCTTCAAGGTACCCTTCCTTAAACACTCGTGTATGTATGCTTCATCTGTTGGCTATCGCCCCAGTTTTCAGGAGAGCTCCTTGACAGCAGGGTCTGTGTGTTTAAAAACTGTTCCCAGATTTCAGAACACTGCCTAGCACAGAGGGGTCGGACGAGAAGGACTTGCAGCAGGGAGGTAACACATATCATGTGGGCACCAGGTTCTTTTCGACAGGGCTGTTTATTCTGATAGAAAGTGAAGGGCCCACCAATGAGCGCTGGCTAACACATTATGGAACTTTTAAACAGCCATAAAAATAAGAGAGTTCTTTATGATTAACTTTGGAAATCTGTCCATTATTACTAAAAGGAAGGTATAAAACAGTTCTTAAGGTGCATACAGATTTTTAAAAATTTTTTTAGTTATAGATGGATGCAATATCTTTATTTTGTTTATTCATTTTTATGTGGTGCTGAGGATCGAATCCAGTGCCTCACATGTGCGAGGCAAGTACTCTGTCACTGAGCCACAACCTCAGCCCCAAGGATTTTTATAAGAGATGGAAATGTCTGTGCTTAACTTATTTTTGAATTGTGCACAGAATTTTATTTTATTTTATTTTTATTTTTTGGTACCAGGGATGAAACTCAGGGGCACTTGACCACTGAGCCGCATACCTGGCCCTATTTTGTATTTTTATTTAGAGACAGGGCCTGAGTTGCTTAGCACCTCATTTTGCTGAGACTGACTTTGAACTCGCGATCCTCCTGCCTCAGCTTCCCAAGCAGAACTTGTTACAACAACTTTATCAATACAGGAAAGAAACTGGTTTGGAAATTGAATAAATGAGAATAGTAGAATTTTAGTAAAATGAAATCAGTTATCTGCTGATATAAGTTCCTCCCAGGAATTAAAACTGGGCAAAGGTACAGAGTAGGAGAGGGGACTTTTGCATTAAAAAACAAACAAACAAACAAAAAAACTGTTTGCAATGTAACATATTGTTAGTTTTAAAAAAAGGTAAAAATTTAAAAATACGAAAAGAATACAACTACAAATGTTTTTAAACTTATTATCCTAAATTATGGTTTTCATCCATGCCTCAAATACCTTGTGAAATGAAGAAAAAAGAATACATTGCTATTGCTGTCTTGAAATGAAAGCTGTATTACAAACCAACAAAGGAATTAGTGCTGAATGTGATAGTTGTTCTAAAGAAAAAGTCCCTTCAAAGTCCTATACTGACTACAATACCTACCTTTTATGTCATCACTGTGGTCAGGCATGGGGTGTGGATGTAGTTGCACTGATTGAAAAGCTCAAGAATTAAGAATTCTTGGTGGAATTCTTGGTATTCTTTTGTTGGCATATACACACATATTCTTGGGGACTAATTAAAAAAACCCACTTTTTTATGTATTATAAGTCAGAATATTCTCAGTGATTGACTAGCCTATTAAAAGGCTATAGGAAAATATTTAAAAACTTACAAACACTTTCCACCTTGTATCTCAGGAAAAAATAAGTTTATTTTTAAAAACTGACAAAGAAGGTTGTCTTCTATGACAAGTACTAGCAACCCTCTGTGTGCTATTATAAAAACACAAAGTCAAAGAGGAAGCAGACCAATCTCAACAGACTTTAAAAGCCTTTCAAATCCACTGTGGAATTATTCACCATTCATGTTAATGAAATTCTACTGATTCTTCTATTCCCATTCACTCAACTTCTAAACCAACTCCTTTCCTATAACAATAACGCTGAAGTAACAAGTTCTGTGCATGATTCAAGTCTGAAAGAAGTCTTAAAGGAGTAGCACTTTTTCCAGTTTATTAATCAAACAACATTTTAAAAACAATTTTAGGAATGATGTTTAGGTATGGTAAATATGTTTCCTTTCCCCAAAAAATTACTATTTAAATTTCTTTCCTCTGCCAATACAGCCAGCCCAACTAGAAAACTGGAATAAATCGGACAAAGGGAGGCTGAGGTCTATCCTTCATTATGCAAGAAGGAACCTGTTTAAGCAAATAATTGTAATTAAAATTAGTGGTATTAAAATTGACCATTTTCTTCTCAGAACTGCTCAATGCTGACAGACATTATACAAACAGCCCCCACAATCCCAGCCACTGAAAAAGACTTCATGAAAGTTTTCCTCTAAGTACACAAACTTAAAACATATTCTGCCTTGATTTTGTTCTTTACCCTCTCATTCAGCTTTACCAGTCGGAACAATCCTGTTGGCTTACTGATACACTGCCTTTCTCCTCAGAGGGCAGGGAGGGCCCTGGTCTTTTTGTTCCATGAGTGCCTCTCTGTGGGCCAGCTAGTTGGCGCCTGAGTGGCCCTGCTGCTGTTGCAGGAAAGCCAGGAGCCAGCAATGCCTCCATTTCTTGCCTCTGAGAAGAGGCGAGAGCCGCACAGCCCCACAAAGGGGACTTCCACCACACCTACGTGCATGGAAGACTTTATTAATTAGCTAGGACGCAATCTGCCTGCTTTGTCACCCTGCGCTAATTGACAGTCTCTCTCTGCTGCCCACTGGTTCTCCCTCTTCTTCCGGTCGACAAACAGAAACAGTTTCTCTGCAAGTAAAGCTAATGCAAATCTGCTGACTTGCTTAACACGCTGGAAAATCCAATTAAAATAATGAGCCATTTCTCAGTGCCCAAGCCTGCAATTCCCTGGTATAAATTAGTTATTCTGTCTATGTGTTAACTCTTTCATGCCCTGGACAGCTATGTACTTCTTACCTTGAAGCTATCTAAAACTGTGCCTTGTTGGTAGGCCACTTTCTAGGATATTGTGATATAGAACAAAGAAACCCAGCGTTACCTGGCCACTCAACACTCCTGGGGTGGGTGACTCTGGCAAACTGTTTGACCTTGCTGGTGTCTGAGCACTTTCTTCAACTGGCCCACACCAGTGGATTAGACCAAGGCAGAACTGACACCAGGGAAGCACCACTGCACTCCCATCCACACTGCTAAAAGTTCTGTCGACTATTCTATTTCCATTTACTCAACTTCCAAACCAGTTGTCTTCAGTAATAAAGTTTAACGAGAGTTCTTTACATGAGGCCCCGAGCTGGATGCTTTTATTAGCACCCTCTCCTCATTGGCTCCTGATGACCCCACAAGGTATTATTAAGAAACTTGCTCAAACACACACATCCAGTTAAGTGGAAGAATCAATCAATAAACCAGGTAGAGCTCCATAGTCAATGAACTGTTCATAACACTATCTTCTTAGAGATATCAGAATATTCTAAAGACA